AACCTCGCCAGCATTTGTTGCTTGCTGTTCTGTTAAATTTTGCTATTCTGACTGGGGTGAGATGATATCTCATAGTTGTTTTGATTTGCATCTCTTTTTAGAGGTAGGAATTTTGAACATTTCTTCATGTGCTTGTTGGCCATCTGAATGTCTTTTTCAGTGAAGTGTCTGTTCATATCCTGTGCCCATTTTTCTATTGGATTATTTACGAAGTTTATAGTTTTTCAGAGAAATGCAGACATATTGCTTCAGAAAATTGCTAAAAGAATAAGGTTTCTAATATCTCTGATTCTGTATTCTGTTATTTGATATTTCCACTTTGTTATAAGTTAATCATACTTTGGGCACATTGTCAGGAGGGGCTGGGAAAAGTAGAGGATCAGAGGAAGAGAGGAAGACCCTCTTTAAGATGGACTGACACTGACATTGACATTGACATGACTAAAATGGGTTCAAGCATATTAGATGTCATGGAAACAGCACAGGCTAGGTGAAGGTTTTCATCTGTTTTCACAGGGTTGCTATGAGCTGTATTTGACTAAACTACACCAAATGACATAACTGTAATGCAAGGTAATAGCTTATGGTCATCCTCAAACCTACTGAAAGCATCTCCAGCTTTCCATTCTCTAGCACAGATATTTCAGTCTGAATGTTTAAATGAGGCAATCAGTCCTAGTTTCTTAGTCCATCTTTGAGCTCAAGGCAGATGGAAAGTTTGATAGATTTGCTAATACCTGGGGAAATGGCAAGAGATGTTGTTGTTGATTACTGACAAGTCAAGTACAACTCATAGAGAGAACAAAAGGTTTGAAACTTTCTGTAACTATTGTGGTTTCTCCAGGTTCATAGAATATCCAGAGGCATGTGGTTTAGGAAGTGAATGCCAATCATGCTTTCAAACCTGTCTTAAACTGGGAGCTCCACCAAACACTGTCCCCATGGGCAGCCATTATGGCATTTGACCCTTCGTATGGCAAAAGGTTTGGCTTCACAGCAAACCCAGATTACCTCAGCACAGTAAATTTACAGAAGAGTGCTGTACAACTAAGAAAAATGTTCCTCCAAAATGAAATAATGCTACAAGGGCTCTCTCTCTCTAGATAGATATAGAGATAAAGATAGAGATGATATAGAGAGAGATAGAGATGGAGATGGAGATAGAGAAAGATAGAGATAGAGGCTGGAATCCATTTTGGAAGTCGTGTGCAGGAGCTGGATTTTACAGAGGCTTATTTGCTGCTCCTGGTGAGGATTAGGGTGGAATGTTGATTCGCTAATGAGTGTGAGATGATGTGATTCGGCTTCCAATTTAAAAACTCATTTGGTCAGCAGTGTTGTTGTTGTTATGTGCCTTCGAGTCGCTTGCGACTCATAGCGACCCTATGTACAAGAGCCCTAAACCTTGCTCTGTCCTGTGACGATCATACTGCCTCTGACACTCCCATCCCAATTACTCCAGTCACTAAATCAACCCACCTCATAAAGGGTCTTCCCCTCCTGCACCATCCCTCCACCCTCCCAAGCATGATGTCCCTCTCCAATGACCTCTCCATCCTTAAAACAAGTCCAAAGTATGTCAGATGAAGCCCCAGAATCCTTGCCTCCAAGGAGCAGCCTGGTTTAACCCTCTCCAGGATGAATCTGTTTGTTTTCTTGGCAGTCCA